GCCTGATCTCTCTCCCTTGTTGCCACAGTCTTGACCCCTATTGCAGTAGTCCCAAATAAAGTCTTCCTTACCATTTTAATAAACGTCAGAATAATTGTTTTACTTTAACTGGGGTGAGGGGTGGGAGGGTTCCAGCTCTTTTATGATGTTGCCTTCAAACATTAGAACCACTGAGAGAATCAGTCTGGCTTTTCTTTCACGTTCGCCTAACAACCTCTGATGGATTCTACCTTCCAAAGCTGTTTTCAGGCTGAAGAGAGTGTACACCATTTTACGGTTCTCACTGTTAGTTAATGCAATGGCCCTGATGCTGGTTTATATACTTCGGTGAAAGTTAATCATGGAACAGTATCCCCAAGATCAAGCACATGGACAAAACTCAAGTTTCTGGGGCCACACAAAGGAGGACTGAGATAAGGCCACAGTGAATGGCAGTATTTAAGAATCCCTGCTGTATGGCCTTCACAGGCTGTGTAGACGCCTGATCACTGCGCTATACATCTGAAGCTAAAGTTGAATAATATTGAATGTCAACTATAATTAAATATATTTATAGTTAAATGTATATATGAGGTCAGTCAAATTAAGTTCGCAAACTCATCCTAGAAAAAGTGCTACATACTTCATTGCTGAATATCACTACAATCACCTTCAAAGTGCTCCCCTTGGGAAGATATGCACCAATGCCAGTGCCTAGTCCACCCTTCAAAGCAATTTTGGAACTCTTTTTCTGGAACAGCCATCAGAGCTGTCGTCATATTACCCTTGATGTCCTGAATGTCATTAAAATGTCTTCCTTTCAATATTTCCTTTATCTTTAGGTAAAGAAATAAGTTGTTGGGGACCAGATCAGGTAAGTACAGAGGGTATTCCAATACAGTTATTTGTTTACTAGCTACAAACTCCCTCACAGACAGTGCTGTGTGAACTGGTGCATTGTCGTGATGCAAGAGCCGTGAATTGTTGGCGAAAAGTTCAGGTGGTCTAATTTTTCACGCAGTCTTTTCAGCACTTCCAAATAGTAAACTTGGCTAACTGTCCAGTTGGTATAAATTCATAATGAAAATCCCTTTGATATCAAAAAAGGTTAGCAACATCGTTGCAAAAAGTTCCCAAACTTAATTGTCAGACCGTGTGTGTGTGTGTGTGTGTGTGTGTGTGTGTGTGTGTTTTCATGGGATGTAAAAGAAGTGCAGCATAGGGAATATATTCAGTGGTATGGTCACAGCTACATACAATGTCAGAGGGGTAGTAGATTGGGGGTTATCACTTTGTGAGGGGTGTAAATGTCTAACTATTAGTTGCTTTGTACACCTGAAACTAATAAAAAGAAAAAAAAAGAATTTCTCCTGATGAACGTCAGCAATCAGAGTTTTTGTAAAGTCTGTAGGGAATTAGAGATGAGGAAGTAATTGGGGTGACACAAATTATTTTGGCTGTTGCATTCAAAATTTCATCTTCTTGTCTCCCACTTCTCTATACCCTAAGACTCAATTACGTCTGTCTTTCGACTTCAGATCTACTCATGATTTTATCCTGAAATAGGGATCTTCTTAAAATGCAGATTCTGGTCCTGAGGTCCTGGCAGGGGTGAGGACAGGAGTCTGCATTTCTGGAAAGCGCCCAGCTACTGCAGATGCTGCTGGTCCAGGGAAACCCCCCACCCCTGCTTTGAGCACAAGAGGTGAGGTACATTATCTCTAGTTTTGGAGTGTTGCCACAAACTCCTAATTAGCCTCCCAGCCTTTCTTTCCAATCCATTCCCCACCCTGCAGCCAGTGTGGTCTTTCTAAAATGCAAATCTGAACAAGTTCTTCCACTTCCCCGCCCTTTCCCATTGCCCTCAAATCCTGCTCTCGCCTCCCACTCCACCTCAGGCTCCCACTCCCGTCTCAAGCTCACTGTTCCTGCCCTAAAGAATTAGGCTCAATTCCTACAAACACCCTGTGATCTCTATTCCTGAGCTTTCTCACAAGTTATTCTCCTCCTCTGACAAACATTTTCCTTCTAATTCCCACCTTCACCTCTCCCACACCCTCCCAGGCTTTTGAAATCCAGATCTCTACCCTTCCTCTGTGATTCTATAACACCCTGAGCCATTTCTGTCATTGTTCTTGTCTGCTTGTATTGCTGTTCTCAAATTTCTATCATTAGACCATGAATGAGAGAGGTACCTGTATTTATTTTTATTATACCTCCATCACATTGTTTCACATATAGAAAATGTTTAAAATATATTTATGGGTTAAACTGGGAAAAGGAGAGCATTTAGGACGTAGAAGATTATAAAGGTTTTAAATTTATATTCCATTTGGTCTTCTTCAGAGAATCACAATCAGGGTTATTAGATGTTAAGGATAAAATTGACTAGGTTGTCAAATTGAACCATGGTCTAAAGCTTTCTGACTACTCTAAAATAATACTAGACTTGCAGTTCTGTTTAAATTCTACCTTACCTAAGCAACACAAAATACATCTTTTACATATAAAACAAAGCGGCCCTGACCAGTTAGTTGTGTTCTGTTTTTACAGATGAGCTAGCAAATACAAGCATAAATTGCAGTAAGATATACAAAATAAAGAAAGACTGGATGGAAAGTGAACGGAGGGGTTAAATGTGAAATAGCCTTATGAGAGACCCTTCCAGAGAGATGTTTCATATGACACACAGTTATTGCATCTTAGAATGTGAGATGTTGTGGGTGGAGCCTAACAATTCAAATTTTTCTTAATGGAATCTCAGAATTTTACATAAAGATTTGAGATATAGTGCATTATGAAAGAAAAAAATCAAAATAAAATCTCAAGTATAAAAAAGGTACACATGCTTAACACAAAAATCTATGTGAAGTACAGTATATCAATTCAATGAGGCGTGTTAATTTTATTATACACTATAATATAAAGGATCATCTGTTATATTTTCATATTTTTCTTTTACTATGCTTTTAATTAGGATTTCCTTTTACTTTTCAGGGAAGGAAAGGCATAATGAAAGGTGGGGGACCCAGCTAGCCTTTTTGTTTTCTCATTGTTACCAGATTCTAAATTTCTCCCCTGATCTGGATCAGGATTCTGGTGTAGAATAGATTACTCCATTCCCATCAAGGCATTACCTAGGATGGGAACTGTCAGTTTTGGGAACCCACCAGCCTTACCCTGTGAATTCCTTATTAGCAATGAATGCTCCCATTGTGTTTCTTCACAGCTCACAGAGCCACACCTGTCAGAGGCCAGCAGCAGCTGCCCAAACTCACGTTCTTAGAAAAAATGAAGAGAATGAAGAAACAGGGAGAGCTGGAGTCAGGAAGTGATTCAATGTATCAAAGCATCCGTTTATGTTTTTGTCTGAGACTATTCAATATTTTCATGGGTGTGAATTCACTTTCAATACGAATAGGATAAATCTACTATTTGAATACCTCTTATACGCTAAAACTTTATATACATCTTTTATTTCGTCTCTGTAACATCCAGGAAAGCTAGGTAATTATACTCCTGAAAGAAACTGAGGCCCAGAGAGAATCAGTCCCGGTCGTTGGCTGATCAGGGAATCAGACTTGGATCATCAGTCTCATTTCTAAAGCCCAAGTTCCTTCCTCCTAAACTCTACTGCTTTCCAGAAAGCAAAGCCCCAAAGACAATCTCACTGGAAATTTCAACTAAAAATACTTAGTTGAAAAATAAAGACAGAGGAAAAAAAGAAGGCACGTTTTAAAGGAGTCTATCCGGGTATCCGAAGAGCACGTGACGGGCCAATAGTGGGCCTGGGAGGGGCTGCTGTTTCCTCCCCGCCTCCAATATCTCCTCTTCTCAGCACCTGCAGGTGTAACCTCGGCTGCGTGTTAGCCAGGGAAGCTGCAGGGCGCCGAGCCGTGGTGCGAAGGTTATGCAGCGAGCAGAGCAAGCTCGCGGGAGGGAGCACCGCAAGTGGACTGTAGACATCAGAAAATCCTGAACATACCTATTTAATCTCTCCTTGCTCATTTCCACTGACAGTTCCCCCATTCAAGTACTCGGTAATAGCCTTGTAATTCTCCATTTCCCCCCTCAGTTTGCCCTCCTCTCCCAAGCCCTCCTCCACACGCCTGCCCAGAGAATCAGATCCCGTCACTCCTCTGAACCGTCAGTGGCTGTTCATTGCTCGGAGGATCAAACGAAACATCCTTGGGTGCCCTTCCAGGCCGTCCTCGTTCGGGCCCCTGCTTTGTGCTCCGGCTTCCACGTCCGGCCATACACCCACCTGTTCACCCTGCTGCAGGTGCCCTGGCTGGCCCTGGCCTCCCTCAGCTCCTTGGCAAACCGTGTATGTGCTTTTGTCCCCTTCCTTCCGCTTTCCCAAGGCCCACTCATCCTACGAGTCGCAGCTTAGATGTCCCTTTTAAAGCGAGGCCTTTCCTGGCTGAGTCCTCCCCCGCAGCCTCCTTGACCGCCATCTAATTAGATCTCCCGGAATGTGCCCCATTAGCGCTCTTCTTGTCACCGATTGTAAATTGCATTATCTATGTGCCTCATTAACTTTAACGCCTGCAGTGTCTCCAGGGTTTAGCACTGTATCTGGCAGGCACACTATTGGATCTTAACTTTTGAATGAATGATTGACTGGGTGGAGGGACCTGAATTGGATCTTAATTGTCATCATTATCAACCGATCATCACGATATTTCTAGTCCCTCAGGGCTGCTATCCGTGGCATGCCCACCCCTTTCCCACGGGCCCCACGCGCGCGCAGGCACTTTGGGAGGACCGGGACCCAGCGCGGCTCCGGGCGGGTCTCAAGGCCAGGTGTCCTCCGGGCGCCCAGGTTCACGGGTGCGGGGGGAGGAGGGGCGGAGGAAAAGGGGAGTGTGAAACAGGGAGTGCCGGGTACGCCTCCGGCCTCCCCGACCGCCGCCCCGGAGCGCGACTTCCTACTTTGGGGACCCGCGCTCGGGACTGGGCGGGGCGGGAGACGCCCCCGGCGGGCTGGGCCCCGGGTCGCCTCAATGGGATTCGGTGCTGGGCAGAAACTGCGCCCAGTCCCGGCGCCGCGCTCGGCCGCGGAGGAGGCGGACCGGCCCGGGCTGCGGCGGCGCTGCGCCCGCCAAGGGGAGGCCGAGCCTGCCAAGCTGGCGCCCGGCGGGGCCATGGTGGCCGGCGCCTGCGGCGGCTGCGAGCTGGCGGGGGTTGCCCAGCGCGGCCTCCTGGCCCTGCTGCTCGTGGTTTCCGCCCCGCTCCGGCTGCAGGCGGAGGAGCTGGGTGAGTGGAGCGCGTCCGGCGGGCGGCGGGCTGGGCCTGGAGGGACGGAGCGCGGGAGGAAGTCGGGGTCGCTGCCTGCACCCCGCGGAGTCCTGCTCAATCTGGCCCACGGCGGCTCGGGTATAAAATAAGTGACTGCATTCCGATCGCTCCCCTACCAAATTCCTCTTGGCCCCTCAAACCAGAGCGTCAACTTGGCGCCTCCCCACTTTCGGTCTTCGCAGCCCCCTCACTTAGTTTCCAGACTTCCTGACTCCGCCGGCCCCGTGAGAGGTGACATAGCTCAGAGGTTGCGAGCGGACGACCCTGGGCGCCTTAGGAAGAGTCGGGAGTGGGGACGCTTCTCTCAAGCTCCCTTTTGACCACGCCGTTCAGTGGTTGGGCGGCCGGGCCCTCCTTGTCGCCTCCGTGCGCGGCTGGAATCCCAGCGTGTGCGCCTGGCAAGGAGTGGTTGGGCAAAGTGTGCCGGAGGCTGGCCCGACCGCGTCGCCCCTCACCAGTGCCAGGGTGCTGCCTGCGCCCAGAGGTGGATTCAGGTGGCTCGGCTTTTTCGTGGGTGTTCGAGCCAGTCGGCTCCCGACCTGGTGCTTGGCTTCAAGATGGACCTAATTAACCCACAACCGAGTATACCTCTGCCATTTCCACCAGATTGAAGCAGTGAGCTGTTTGCCAGCCTAGGTAAATCTTTGTTAATTAGGTCTTTACTGATGGCAGGGAGCCGCTTTCTGCCGAGTTTTCTCAGTTCTTGTTCCTCTCCTCTCCTACTTTCTGCCCCTGTACAACGGAGGCGACTTAATAGCAGTGAATCTACCCACAATATTTTGACAGCTCCCCCACCCCGTGCTTTCTAATGAGACAAGAAATCAAAACAACCAAATACTAGCTCCTTTTCACTGAACCATGTATCCATTCCATCCATTCCCAGTCTGAAACTTTGGTTAGTAATTACTAAGTTTGCTTACATACGAAATTTGTTTTTTTTTAAAGGCTAAAGTTTAGACAAACTATGTCTTGTCATTGTAGCAGAATGCTAGGCATATAGTAAAATTTTAATAAATATGTATGTTTTTATTAAATATGTAGGATTTTTATCATGGGTGTTTTAAGCATTTAAAAAATTTCTCAAGTTCCTATTTGAAGATGCATGTTCAATACTGCACATCTCTCCAACACTGTCTTTGTGTTAATCTGACCAAAGCTGTCACCCATCTTTCCAAATGAAGTTTCAGATGCTATATGGTCACCCAGGCTGTTAACTGGGTGCTTGGTAGAGCAGTTCTAGTTCTCTGGCAAGAAGTGTGATTGCTTAGATTTCCTACCGAGCTTCAAATTTGAGACTATTGCACTTGACCGATGGAAGAAGACATTGTCATTTGAGTTTCCCTGAAACATCCTATATATTTAAAATGTGAAGAGATCCAATAAAGGCATAGGTGTTCAATCACACAAAAAAAGTAAAACTTAGATTTGAGACATGTGCTGAAAAAAAATCCCCTAGGAACCCCAGTTCTGTTACCTCTTGAGTAAAGAGGCATACTCAATGATTTTTTAGTATTTCTCACATTTGTGATTTTGCTAATTCGCCCTGGTCACTTATTTTTCAAGTTTCCATAAATTGAAATATGCACACCCATTTTTGGTCTTGAGATACGCCGCTGGGTATGCAGTTGGATGGTGTCGTAAGCGATATTAGTGATCTCAATGTTTAGATCAGAAGGCAGCTTTAGCATAACAGTCTGTTTTGGGTAAGAAGATACCATTTATTACATTTGACCTTCATTGTTCTTGGAGTCAGCTTAGTTTGGTGCTTCTTGCCCCCCACCCCCCCCCACCCCCAACCTGCCAGGTCACCACTCTCTAGAAGCTTTATAAAGCCTCAGCCCCATATTGTGGATCAGAATTTCCAATGGGTGGGGCCTGGGAGTAAGTGCTTTTAAAAATTTCCCCCAGGTACTTCTGATTCAAATCAGCTTTGAGATGGTAGAAACATTTTATAATGTTATGGTTATGGTAAAGTTCTACCATGTCTTTCACAGACAATTTAATGTTAGGATATTAGAAGGTCTGTTCTTAAGTCATTACTCCTTTATATTTGGTTAGACGTGGGATAGCTGATACCTGCTGTTTTAAGTGAGTGACTTTTTAAAAAGTAATCACAGGTTTATTCTGGCACCTTCTGCATCACTGTGTGCACTTGCCCCAGACTTATCTTCCTCTCCAAGGTCTGAGATTCTGTCAGCCCTGTAGACTGTAAATTCCTGAGGGGAGCAACTGGGATGTCTTTATCTTCCTCGCACTTGACAAAGGTGCTCAATAAATGTTTCTTGGGTTGAACTGAACAATCTCTTTGTGTTTAGGACATATTTTCAAACAATTTCCTAGTTAGTGGAAACTAAGTAATAAGCAGTCTACCGAAGTTCTTTATGAAGATACATCTGGTGCTTCCACTAATTAATTTTGTTTAGCAAGCCCAGCTCTCTTGGCATGCTTATTTCTGTGTGTAAAGAAGTCTTTTAAATGCAAGTACAGCAGAAAGAAGAAAACATGCCAAAAGAACAATATGTACCATATCTTTTGCTATAGTAGATGTAATGTGTAACACTCGAACATTAAGTTATGCCATATACCTAACTCAGAAAAAGAAAGGCATAAAGTATTCATTAAACAAATCAAAGGATGTTACTAAAGCAGGGTTTGAACTCTGAATAGCGTCCCAAGCTGTATTTATTAACTTTTTGTTGCATAAATGGAACACTTTAACCTTGTGGTACTGGAACAGACTTGAAATTCATATAAAAAACCATAACTTGGAAATTAGCAATACATCTGATATTTATAAAGAATTATGTTTTTATTTTTAAGATGCACGAGGAAGTTTAATTGCAGCATTTAGCAAAGGTTTTAGTCATGTTAAGGCAAAAAAAAACTTTTTCAGGGAGATATAGGGTCATCGGGAAAGTCATGACACATTTTTGCATTGAAAAACATAGAAAAATATGTCATGACTTTCCCAACGACCCAATAGTTACCATAGAGTTTTGGACTTAGTGCTATGTGTGTCCTAAAACATAAGGTCAACTGTATGTAGATTAGAGCAACCAATTATTTTGCATCTTTAAGGAGATAATATACATAACCCTCTGGAATTACACTTAGCACATGGTAAGAGCTCAATAAAGGTCAACTATCTTGTAATTCACTACTGCTTATTGATATTAATTTGACAAATATGGGGCCCCCTTGTTCTGCCTCTCCCACTACCTCTTGGACCTCATTCTCCACCACACTCGCCCATACTCCCAGCCATACTAGCTATCTTGCTATTTCTCAAAGATATCAGGCACCCTTCTACTTCAGAGTCTGCATGGTCTGTTCCCTCTGCCTGGAACAGTCTTATCCCAAATAGTCACATGATTCCCTCCACCTTCAGTCTTTGTTCAGGTGTTGCCTTCTTGGGGAGAATGTCCCTAACCACCTGTAATCCTCTCATCATCACCAGAACTCCGTATTCCCTTTCCTGCTTTCAATTTTCTCTAGAACACTTACCATCTTCCAACACAGTGTAGACTTTACACTTTTATTTTACACATCTGTATTTCCCCTATAAGAATACAAGGTCCACGAGGGGCTTTGTGGTCTGAACAGTTGCTAGCACATGATGCGTACTCAATACAGGAGAGGTGCTTAGTGAGGATGGGGTGAGAAGGCAGTGGAAACACAGTTGCTGCCCTGTTGTTAAAGACTCAGGGCTGACTCTAGTTGAGAATCAAAACGTGAACAAGATAGTAATAAAATTATATGTCTAGTCCAACTGTTGTTTGTAAATTAAAAGTATGAAAATATGGATTTAAAATAGAGGAACTCATTCTGCTATAGTCAAAGTCTAGCATTGAGGATGAAAAAAATATATATTGCCAGACTTTCAGATTGCTTTTTTTTTTTCATTGGACTAGGAGTTATTTTGCCTTTTTGCAACGGAAGAGTCATGTTGATGTCATCTAACAGATGTTCATTCTCTGCTTTGTATATATAAAAAAAATAGTTGTTTGCTTTGGGGGTGAGGAAGTGGGAGAGAGTTAATGGGGGGGGGGAAAACACATGGCAATTTCTAACCCGATGTGGAAATAAATTCTGTGAGCCCTAATATGAATTTGGAACCAACTCCCAAACTTGCCTTTCAGTGGGAGTTGAAGAGGAGATTTGTTTTGTCTTGGGGGTGGGGTGTGAGGGTGTGGAAAGGGATAGAGTCTGAGATCCATGAGAGTGGAGATGAAATGGAGCCTTTTTTATTTTTATTTCTTTTTTTTTTTTTTTTGGTCACCTGTAGTGCCTGGTACAGTGCCTGGTAGATAACTGGCTCCAGATAGCAATTTCCTGAGTTAGCACTTGAATGCTGTGG